TATATATATATATATATTTAGCTTTTTGTATATTGTTTTGTTTAATTCTAAAATTCATATAAAATCATCTTTAATTTTCTGTTTTAATTTCTCTACATTACTTAATTGTTAAAATTATATGAAAATTAAGTAACAAATCAAGGAGGCAAATCTTAGTCTTTGCTAGACCAATTTGAAAATCTACAGTGATATGCTAACTTCATATTTTCATTGTTGACTCAAGTCTTTCTCAGTATATTTTTTTTACTGTCTTTCTATATTTTTATCTGTCATTAAAAAAAATCAATTTCTTCATTTTTTTTACTGTCTTGTTAAAAAAAATTTACTGTCTTATTAATTTTTTTTTTATCTTTGTTATTTATTACCATGATGTTTCATTTCCTATTCTTTCTCTTTCTTCTTTTAGAATATATAATTGAAAAAATAATAATTACTATTATTTTTAATTTTTAAGATAATGTGATATACTTTATTTACTATGATTTCTCTCTCTTCCTTTATAAAGGTATGATTGAAAAAGTTATAATCAATAATACTATATTTACCTTTCTAGAAATTATTCATAGAGTTATCTAACACGAACTCAGTCACAATACGGAAACACGACACAGACATGGACACGAGAATACAACAAAATTAAAAAATATAAGAAACATGGACGCATCATATATATAATATATAATATAAATAACATGATAAAAATATTATATATTAATATAACAATAACTTACTAGATCTCAAAAAAATATTAAGAGATATCATATTCATAATTTTCTTTTTAAATCTCAAATTCTTCCTTCATTAATTTTATTTTTATTAAGATTTTTTCTTTTCTATTACGTGAAAGTTAAGTAAAGAGAAATAAAACAATTCTCTTCATTATTTCTATTTTATATCATTTAAAAAAAAATCTCAAATCTTACCTTCTTTTTTATTTTTTTATTGAGATTTTTTCTTTTAAAAAAATCTCAAATTATCCCTTTTTTATTTATGCTTTTATTTATATTTATTCTTTTTCTTTTTAAAAAAAATCTCAAATCATCCATTTTTTTTTCTATTTTTATTGAAATTTATTCTATTTTTTTTTTAAATCTCGAATCCACGTAACAAATAGTACATCGAGATGAAATTGTGTTCATTTACATGTACCCACAATGGAGACACGTAAGTTTTGTAGGTGTTCGCAATGGAGACATATCAATTTTGTAGATATCGTGATGGATACGTGTCCAATTTGTGTGGACACAGTCTGTTGAAGTGTCTGAGGTACATCTACGATATGTTCGCTCCTAAAGAGCATCAAACTCAGGGACACAGTAATCCCATGTTGTATCCGTGCAACATAATCAAAGAGTACAAGCCAATGTAAACTCTAAATGACATTGTTTAAGTAAAATTATTGAAAAGTAAGAGTATATAGCTTTAGTGGTGGATGTGCACCAAGTGGGCTAGCTTCGATGCCAAAGCAAACACTATAAGGATGTGATATGATTCTTTCACATTTAAAAAAGTATAATTTGGAAACAATGAGGAATCTTCCCCTAATTTTATTGGAATTCAATCGTGCAATTGTTTATTTTGTTTTATTTTACTTGGAAGGAGAGAATTATAGGGGTAATGGATCACATTAATATTCCATTCCACCAAAAGTAGAAAGAAAATGAAGAGTGGACTTGTTTTTAAGTAAAAATTCAAGTTATTCTTATATATATATATATATCATAAATATTTATGTTATTTTATACATAAGTTTCAGCTTTTTTCTTTTTATTAAACAACTTGAAAAAAATCAATTTTTTTTTTAAACCAAGATAAAAGTTTATGATACTTTTTTTTGGTCTATCTAAACTTTTTATTAATAATTATGAAAAAATAATTTAGACTAAAATTAAATTTCTAATTACAAAGGGTCAACTCAGAAATATTTGAGTTATACTTTCTATACAAATTAATGGATAGCTTTTAAATATTTGTCATGCATGATATTTATTTATAATAAAAAAAAGAGTTTAACTCAATTGGTCGAAGAGATGTGAATTATTAATAATTGTCAAATGAAATATCAGTTTAATTTATGCTGGATAAAAAAGTTATTAATAATTATAATTAAATTAAATTCGTAATTATTAATACAATATTGACTTTTTTATTCAAGGAAGGGGCGACTCAGAATTTTATTTTATTTTATTTAATAAAAGAGAGCGAGGAATACTTTGAATTGCTTGCAATACAAACAAGTTGCTGAATTGCTTTCAGATATTTGCACGCGTGACATTAACTATTCGGAGTGGATAATCTACCTTTGCAGAGTCAACGTTAGAATGTTGTTGTTGTTTAGGTCGCAACCGTTGGATTAATGCATTACATAAGATCTTGACACGTGTTATGCATTTTGTTGTGTAAGTTTTATTTTACCTTGAAAAGCATGTGGCAGCCATGAATGAATCCATGATTTATGTATATTTCAGAGTGGTTGACGGTGTGACATTATCATGATTCACGGTAGCCATACAAGTTGACTTGACTTTGTGTGGAAACACTTTTTGAGAGTTGACTTGGAGGCTCCGGCCGGCGACGGCGAGTAACAGCGGTGAAGCTACTCAATACATAAAATCAAGTTTAATTAATTTCAAATTTAGGATATGTTGAAATCATCCAACTTCAACACTGTTGCGAATGCCAATTCTGAGTTTTTCATTTTATAATGTCAAAGTAAAATATTCTAGAATTCTATTGACAATTATTTCCACTGCTACTTTTTAATTATATTGTTTCATTTAGCTTCTCCGACTATATCAAATGCTGGTTTTTTTTTTTTTTTTTTTCTGTGGGTTCTTTTATTAAGAATGATTTTCTTTTCTTATTCTAAAAAGTATATAAGATGTATATCTTATAGAATAAAATTGTTTAATTAAAATTTAGAAAATTAAATTATATATTTATAATTTTTGATGGACCGAAATTGCTTAACTAAAATTTAAAAAATTATATATATATATAAATTTTAATACTTGACAGATAAAAATGTAATGAATTAAGTCAATTTATTATATTTTCATTTAAGTAATGGATTGTTTTTTGAAATAAAACAAGTTTGACCTGGGAAGGGGTTGAACTGAACGAGGAAATTATAAACATGTTTTCTTCTTTTTCTGAGTAGAGACTAGAGACTAGAGTAGGGGTTTAACAGAAAAAAGTGTTTTAAAAAAATATTATTAACATATAATTTAAAACATATTACTTGGACGGCATGTGATTATTTTAACCCTGTTAAAAATCAAATTGTCAGTCAAAATGTCACCCATCTCATATAATACAAATATTTATTCAATAGCTATTTACACGATTAGAAAAGTGTTATTTTCTTGTAAATTTTCTTGCAAAAAAATATTCACAGAGATTTTTTGTGAATTTTCTTGAAAAAAATATTCGCAGAAATTTTTTGCAAATTTTCTTGCAAAAAAATATTCACATAAATTTTTTACGAATTTATTTGCAAAATATAA